TAAATTCCCTGTTCAAGGGAATTCGTGAATAAGGCAAAGATAGCCTTCGAGCGGGATCGAAATCGCTACCCTCCAAGTTCGAAGCAGACCTCTTAGACAACTGTGCCAAGAAGCCCAACGGAACTCAGGTCAGGACTTACAATCAGCCGCAAGCTCTAATTTCAGCTTGTCCTTATGTTGGAGAAGCACAGATCGAAACGTCGGCTCGGTCCAACTTCTGAATAACAACGTTTTTGTTCATAAACTTTTTATGCTATTTCTCAGTAAGCGAAAAACGACAGATACTTTGTTTCAGTGGTCGGCTCAACATTTTTCGAACTTTAGTCATCCGTACCACAGCTAATGAAACTAAAATTTCCCTCTTAGGTAGTTGCTTATTAGAAAATAATAAGCTTGCGACCGAAAGAGAAGATATCTCTTGTTTCGTTTCTTGATGGCGTGATTATCAACATTGATAACGGTTATTGATTCAAAATAGCCATAATAATTCATCTTCGGATGCTGTGAAATTGGTGCCATGTTTAGATTCACATATACGGCAGTCTGATCGAATAGCAACGCAGCTCCGTGAGAGAGAATGGTTTTCTAAACTACTGATTTAGGTTTCAAACGAGAAGAGATGCAGTTGCAGTGCAGACGTCCAATAAATGGTAGGTAAATAATGTTTGCGCCTATTACTATTTACCATGTAAGCCCAAACTTCTGAAGGTACAGAGAGTTAGGGCTCTACTGTGAAATTAGGAGGTACCGACATCGAACCTCATGCGCCAAGCATTGAACATTGTATTTAGCTTATTGCGCTCGAACGCTATCAGGGGGAGACACGTAGCAAGTCGTTCACTTGTGAACAGTAAGGGTAGCAAGGAATTCAGACTTACTACGCCAATAGGTGCGATACTTATGGTCATATTGTCAGACGCATGCGACAAAGGGTTGCAATTTACCTTAACCAAGTAAGAACACACTATAGTGACTGGCGCTCAACAAGACGTAAAACCGATTCCTTACAGATTTCCAAATCATTTGACTTAATTGTGAAGCAACAGCACAATTTACAGTTTACAAAAAAGGTTGTTGTTTGTTTTTGTCATCGCCACCCTGAGGTTAATCGAACGTTAAACAGCAAAATAACCCAGATTATGAGGATTTACCCCTAGAAATTATACTTAAGTTTGACAGCTTGCTGTTGTGGCAAAGGTCATATTCTTCTGTACAAGCAGGAGAAGCCTCTTTAGCCTCACATTACTTCCTCCACGTTTTGTATTGTCTACCCACATGTCTGCGGCGAGTGCACAATTCGCAAGAGAAGAAGTAACGATTATATTTATTCTTTTATGAACCGCTTTATGAAAAGAAACTTGATTTCTATCTCTGAGTTCGTCTGATTGTTTCCTCAGAATGCTGGCCGTCGTAACTGCTCTTTCGTAACCCGGTGCCCATCGCACTTTGAGGATTCTGCTCATACAACCTACACGAACTGCATGATGCTTCAGGATGGCAGATATTTCCACAGCGTGGACGTTTGTCGCGGATTGTGATTTTAGTGTCCTTTCTTGGCATAATTCGCTGCTGCCTGACCAGTACGCCGTTTTACTTCAGGATCAGTATCACTGACGTCACTTACCAGTTTTGAGGTATTTGATTGGTCCACTTCGTTCATTGCGATACCCTTCCATAGTGTCCTTGGAATGCTGGCTGCGGTAGGCGCTCTTATTATTTTCGTTTTTTGGCGTTCACTTGTAGCCCAACTCACGCAGCGGTGTTACTCACGCATTCAGTGACTCCCAGCGTGCCACTTGCGGAGTCTCTCATGATCACGACGTAATTTACATACCTAAGTTCCTTACACTGCCACGCATAACGAGTTACGCCGTTGACTAACGGTCGGTACCTCGTTGTTATTTGAGACGACGCATTTCCGTATGACATAATCCGGCAAATAGAGATTGAAGTGAGGACCATTAACCTGATAGTCACTGCATTAGCCTAGGATACTTATGCCAATTCGTTCTGGACGCTGAAAAATAGAAAATAGAGCCTCCAGCTGAGCTGATCAACTTTCCCCACAAGATTTCAGATATTGTCTGGCTGACGGCGATGTTATGTCAAAGTGATACGTCGATTACCAAAATTTTGAAAGTTTATAAGAAACAATTTTCAGTTTTGAAGAAAGCCCGAGGACTTTTTCTGATAGTGCTCCTCATTTGCCTGTTCTTGATTTACAGTCGCTTTGAAACACCGATTGTCGAAAAGAAGCCGAACGCACCTTGTGGACGGATTTATGCGAGATGCTCAATAAATCTGGCAAATATGATGTTCCAATACGCTTCGCTGTATGGAATAGCAAAGGCCAATAATCTTTGGCCGTATTTTGAATGCGAAAAAACGTTGCTATACGATACTTTCCGTCTAAGCATTCCCAGAGTCACATCCAGTCCTAAAAACGCGACGTTTCTGTCAGAAAAAGCGTGCTGCATGCATGATCAGCAAATGATGAAGCTTGGGTGCGGAAAAGATTACGTTACTGACGGATACCTGCAATCGTGGCTGTATTTCCTTGATTATGAGAAAGAACTAAGAAAAGAATTTACTTTCACATCAGAAGTGTCGCATGTCTGCTCCGAAACTTTTGCTAAAATTCGCAAAGAATTAAACGCCTCCTCTGACACCGTGGCAGTGGGAGTTCACGTAAGAAGAGGGGATCTTTTGGAGCCGGCTCTGGTGAACAAGGGTTACGTAGCGGCGAACGAAGCGTTCATGCGCGTTGCCATTTTTACGGCGCAAAAAGTGCTTACGGAACCGGCAAAGAGGTTGATCATCATCATCGTCGGGCAAGAGTATCAGTGGAACATGAAGAACGTGCCCGAATCACCGGACGTCTACGTCTTGAGTCCCGTTTCTGCGGCCGTCGATATGTGCGTACTGTCGAAGTGCAACCACGTAATATACTCTGTCGGCACCTACGGTTGGTGGTCGGCCTTTCTGGCAAACGGCCGAACGTTTTACATGAAGCAGTTTTGCAACCCTGGCAGTGAGATGTGCCGAATAACTCGCGCCGAGGATCATTTTCTGCCTCAGTGGAAACCGCTGTAGGGCGGTCATTTCTGTAGGATTTTGACTACGGATAAAAGTTTTGTTATTGCTTGATCATTTATGTGTTTCGTTAAGTGTTTTACGTATAATACCATCATCATTGCAATGATTTGGCATAGGCTTTATGACCTTCGCATTCTATCGAAACAAAATACTGCGTCTCCAACAGATTGATAATAATAAATTGATAACAACAACTGTCTAAACACTCTTCGCAATTAGCGGGAATTACCACTGCCTAGTCTCACCTGCGATTTGTCACCGCAAACTTCCGCATGTCGCTCTAAACTCATCGTCCCATTTCAGCCAAGGTATTTCACTTAGGTGCTAGCAGCTCATGTGGTAGCAATCCGTCACTGCTGAAGTTCAGTGATCATCAGAGAGGTATGCAGTGTAGTAAGATTCGAGCTGTAAGCAGAGAACTGCGCGGAGGGGTGTCTGTTTGTGTTTTATGTTCCATTCGAATTTCCCATTGGCTTTCGGTACTGCACACGTTTGCCAGGCGTCATGGGGCCATCTTCTCTCCGAAGGCTTCCTGTTCACCTTGAAGCGACGCTCCTAAATGCATCTAAAAAATTCTTATATATAAGCATAAATACCATATCGTAAAGAAAAACCAAAGAATTAGAAATGCTACTGCAAAAATAAGGGTAACTGTGTTTAACAGATCACGATGGCCGACGTAAATCTAGTTCCCATATGGTGGCAAAAAATGTGTCGAAGAAATCACAGAAGTATTCCAATGACCGGGTGAAATGTGTGGTGTACGTCCACAGGCTTGATATCAAGAAATCTGATATCCAGCAGGAACGTGCGAACGTTAAGCGGAGACGGCAAACTGGACGGCGTGGTCCGTACAGCAGAACGGCACCACCTCATCCTCTGTGCGATCTCAGAAACGCGAGAAAGATCGCCTAGATAAACAACAGCTTCACTGGTCTGATAACCAGTATTCTAGACACGAGTCGGTAGTCAATCGCAATGCTGCTCTCGCCACAAGCAGTGAAAGCTTTGGTCTCTGTCGTGTCCAAGACCGACAGGGTGCCGGTCTGCCGTCTTGCAACAAATCACGTGAAGGTCAACGTGGTGGTTGTGGACACCCCTAATGTTGCCGACGATCAGAGGAAAGGGATCTCCACCGATGCTTACACCAGCTCTCGGTTCTATACTACGTCATCTATTATCGATCGTCGCTGGTAACATGAAAGCTCAGGTCTGCGTTGACAGTTCTGACAGACTTCAAGTGATGGATAAACACGGCTGCGGGATACGGAATGACGAAGGTGGGAGACTGGTAGATTCTCTGCGCAACGTCCGGCGTCGTCATTGGTGGGATGGTGTTTCCCCATAGTAAGATCCACCAATTGACGTTAGCAGTGCTAGGTGATCGTTTCAGAACTCAGGTGAATCACTTATTGGTCAGCAGAAAGTGGAGAGGCGCTCTTTACGGCTTCCGGACACGGTGCGCAGCTTACATTGGTTCGGACCGCTTCATCATGGACGCTAAGCTCCGCCTCTAACTGCCATCATTGCAGGGAACAGCGCGAAAATGGATGAATTCCCGTTTCGACACCGGCAAGTAAATAGCTCGGGAACTTGGTTGGCGTTTCTTGAAATCAACAGCAGAATTCGCTGTTTTAAAGGAAACGAGCCGCGGCACCAACAGATCAAATATAGTGAGTGTCCTCTCTGCTGCAGCTAATACACTTGACCTCAATAGAAAGACAAACCAGTCGGTTTCGACAGAAACCCTCATTCTTCGCCAAAGAAGCAACGCGGCAAAGGAGGAGTTCTTGCAGAACCCCTACGCGACGAACATGCGACAGTA